CAAAGCAATTTAATAGTTCATTGAAATATAATTTAACCGGAACATGATTTAGAGTAGCGTTTATGTCTTTTCCTTTAACATCAGTTTTTTGAGTTTGACCAGCTCTTTTGCAAGACTCATTCATCTCCTCATTTAGCTCTTATGCTTTGGGGATTGGGCCTCATAAAGGTACTTTAAAAAAATATTTCTGTTGGAAAAGAGGAGAATAGCAAACAAATATTGTACTTGCATTTAATTCTTTGTTCTAACTTTTATAACTTTGACTTGACAATTAAAATCTTTATCACTTCATGTCTTTATCTAAAAAAATCTCTTCACCTTTTTATGCACAATTCCTTTCTCTTTGCCATATTAATTGTCCTGGTTTTTGTAACAGCCTCTACATATTGATGTCAAAACTTCTGTTGTTGCATTTTTAGTCTGCATGTCCAATCTCCATCCAAGTTTCCCTAAGGCATTTTTACTTCTTTAATTTTCACTTAGGCATCCTGGGCTTTGTGACCTGTGCTTTGACATTGTGTCTTTCATCTCCTGTTATAAAAGGATCTTTGCAAAGAACTATGATGTCATAATACAGCCTATGAAAAGTGTCAATATTTGCATTTGATCTCATTTTTAAAAATCATGTGCTTTTGTTTGAATATCAAAGTGATCGTATTGGTTTTTATTTCCCTGCAAAATAACACAAGTGGTCCTTCCTGGGCCTTTGTGGGTATTTAGGTATTAATTCCCATTATACTGCTTTCACCCATGCAATTGCTAAAGTTGTGCAGTAAGTTTTTAATTTTCACCTGGCATACGTTGAGGTAGGAGGGGAGATAGCTATGCCCTCAAATTCACACTTGAATGATCACAACAATAAAGGTCCTCTGACCGCTGAAGTAAAAACTCAGTATGTTCCCATTTTACTTTCCTGATTTGTTAACTGAATTTAGATTTGAGTTTAAAATGTAGTAAACAGGCTGTTTTGTTTGACACATGCTTTTAGTTTTTCAGTATTGGGCTTCTGAAGAAAAAAAAAATCTTTAGGCTTGGAAGGAATATTTTATTTCCCCGACTGGCCTAGATCAGACATGGACACAGAGTCAACGTCTACAGAACTATGAAGTTATAAAAATAGCAATATGACTCTTCTTTTACTGCTCATCTATTGCTTACACCCAAGTGCCTACCTTTCATTAGCTTTCAACTAGTAAAGATCATATTTGGATGATAACACTTCCTCATCCCTCTCCCTATTCCCTTCATATTTCTGATTGACTTCGTATCTCAAATATCGACCCTCAAAACTGGCCAACAACGCTTTTATTATATTTTCCTAACAAATTCTTTCTTTTTTAATTTTCTGGCCACAAAAGAATCCCTCCCAACTTCACTGAAGTGGTTAACCACATCCACAACCAAATAAATCCGCCTCTGACCCAGTTGCTGGGTCTGAGGCTGGCCTGGTTGCTGACCCAGCCCCAGCCTTCAGGACAGCGCATCACTGTAGGTCTCTGTCAGCTTCCCGTCCTGTGAGCCTTGCTGGTCACTCGCCCTCCAGACCTGTGGGCCTTGGCCTGCCCGTCTCAGGCTGGCTGTGGCACAAATTCGCAGGAAGGATCTTGGGGGGCAGGTGGAGGTAATCATGGAGATATGGGCTACCCTCGTTGGTAAGGTCAGTAGAAATGTCTCCGGGCAAACTGTTCTGTCACACAGCCTCGTGATTTGAGAGGCTACATGGCCTTCATGAGGTGACAATTAGGCACATTCTTGTGTGCCAGCTGGAGTATTCAGGCATGTGGACATCCTTTTGGGCCACCATCATCCCCTCCTTAGAAAGGAGTTCTCAGTGGCAATCTAGTTCTTCTTGGGCATCACCATTGTGACAGCTGCTGCCTGCGGGCCTGTAGCTGGAAAAGCCTAAGAAATTCTTTATTTTATTCCCTACAGTAGTTCTTTCCCACCTTCCTGTCTCTTCTCAGGTGCCCCAATAATTCTACTTCCTGCACTCTCAATCAATGACCTTGCTACATATTTTTTAGAAAAAAAAAAAAGATGCAACCAGAAGGAATTCTGTCATTTGTCTCCACCATTTGCACCACCCTGCTGCACTTCTGCTCATAGGCTCCACCTTTCTCTGTGTCTTTGCTCTTATATAAAGGCCAGTAATATGCAATTAACTGCTCTTTGTGAGATCTGTCTCCCTAGCTTAAATCCCCCTCCCCTTGATCTCCAGCATGCACTCCATTTCATTGACCTATTTACAGTAGAACATCCGTAAAGAGTACCTGTCTCCATTTCCTCCTCCCTGTCCTCTCCACAGCCTACTTCATTTCATTTTCATCCCCCCCTGTGACTCAGGACCATTACCTCACCAGAGAGCCCATGTCCCTGTCTCCCTCAGCCTCTCAGCAGTATTTTTGCTATGGACACATTCTTTTTCTTGTGATACTTTCTTCTCCCGTTTTCATGATGCTACTCCCTCCTGGTTTTCCTGCTCCTTCTCTGGCTCTACCTTAGTCCTCTTTGCTGGCCCCTGTTCTTACCGAACTCTAAACTTCGACTATATTCCGGCTCTCTTCTATCTACACTCTCTCTA